TGACTTTCCTTGTAGCCAATCTTACTGCTCAACTCAAGCATCTAGGTAAAAAAAAATTATATTCTCAAAAAAACGTCTGTACTACAAGCTCTCCTCAGAGTTACCCATATAAATCACAACACACATTCAAAACAAGATACATGACGGTAAAACGGATCGGATGTACATTTTGATAGCTAAGTTCAAGGTATGTCTTGAACACGAAGTAAATACAAGTGATTACGATTGTGGTATCTCAAGTTGCAACTCAGGTCCCAATATTCACTCCTTACATATAAGACTTGGGGTAATAATATTCTTGATGGCTAATTATAGACCTGATCCAGGTAGCCTGTCACAACCAATAAGAACTCTGCTAAAATATGTAAAACGTGCTTCATTTCAAAACAAGTGTCAGTTTCAGAACGATCTCCTGTAATGGTATCATTATTACTTACCAGTTACTTCAATAATCGCACAATTCTTTCCAACCTTTATCCCTAACTACATCATGACATTCCCTAAAGAGCCAGGTCAGCGGGGTAGCCTATTGCTTGTCATGTCATGTGTGAATTCCATTTTTGACGTTTATAACCACGATATACTGCTAAAAGCGTTACAAACTCATTTACTCACCCTAAAGGGTGGCTTGGTTATTGATGACCATGCAGCTCCCAGAATAACTTGCATATGGGTTCTTCGCCTTCCTAATCAGTATCACAGCTTGCTCTGGGCCATTTTAAGTGGTCACCTATTGTCAGAACACATTTTTATCAAGAAATAAAAGGTAACCCCAAGTCTTACCCAAGATGAAGCCTGCAGCATACAGTTAGATATACCCTGGGGTCTGAGGCTTATACAACTCGTATACAGTATACAATACCACACTGACTGCATACAACACAACCAGATTACTAGGATCAAAATACAGTGAAATAATCTTCAAACAAACTCATTTTAGTTTACAAAAACTTGATTCCATTAATACCCTATCTCTCAACCGCACTCAAAAGCTATTGTCCAAATAAAATATTTGTAACGACTTGATGCTAAAATACGAACCTTAGTAATCACCTGGCGCCGATTTCTCGAAACAAACTTAAGTCTGAGTTTTGACTTAAGTTAGAGTTTTTACTTAAATTTGAGAAAATGCATTTCCCAGAATGAACTAAAATCGAAAGTAAACTCAAACAGAGTAGACAGTTTGAGTTTGGTGGATAGATTACTTAAGTTGCTTGGGCTCTTTTATTTAAAAAATGCAGTTGAGTTTAAAATTCAGCTGTTTCAAATTGTCAAACTCAGTTTGAAATTTGAGTAAAAACTTAAGTTAGTTTCGAGAAATCGGGGCCAGGTCCGTTATCACCTGTCATTATTACTCAATATTAAAGTTAATATATACAACCATACCTCACACGATGACAATAGGTTGGATCCTTTTCAGCTTCATTTTATACTAAATATTGCATTATCTGATTGGCTGTAGGTTCCATGTTTACAGCATAAGTTAGCACCACAAGATTATGCACTTTATAAGTGCAACAGAAATTGCAGCATTCAGCAGTGTCTCTTATGAAAAGAAAATGTATTACCGTCATTACTAACAACATTGCTTGTTTTTCTTGTACACTCTTTGACATGTATAATCTTCATTATTCATTCACAACTGCTGGCCACAAAATTACAAAATTGTTGCAGTCAACTTCATCACAACCTGTAAGTTAAAGACTGACTGACTGACTGACTATGGTTTTACGCCGTTTTTAGCAATATTCCAGCAATATCACGGCGGGGGACACCAGAAATGGGCTTCACACATTGTACCCATGTGGGGAATCGAACCCAGGCCTTCTGCGTGACGAGTGAACTTTTTTACCATTAGGCTACCCCACCGCCCCTGTAAGTTAAAAAAAAAGGTTCTAGGTCATCTATTGGCTCCCAAATTGTCTTAAGTTTCTGATTTCCGTAAACATCAAGATAAACCCAATAAGGATAATGGCCTGTCTGTACTCCTTTGGGATGTAAACAAGGGCAGGTAAGTCTTAAAAAGATTTAATGGTATTAACATGGCATCTAGATAATAGATTGTTTATCATATTCAACAGTTCTAATGATGTGATGAAGACACACAAGGTATTGAGGCATAGTTAACTGTTGTTGGTATTGGGAACATAAATACTGTTTAATATAAACCTGATCACATTAGCTTTTGAGTACTATGAAATCTATAAAATGTTCCAAATTCTGATTTTATAACGTTTGGCATAAATATATGTTTGAAGAAAAGCTCAGTCTAAGTAAACTTAGGCTGAGTATTATTCGTTACACTGCTATACTGAGTCTAACAAAACCTAGTAGAAGGTCGCGTCAGCTAACCTCTTGGACTGACTAATTAGAACACAGCTTACCAAATCGCGAAAGTTAACATTCGCACATACCATTTGAACCTTTACCTCAAAAACTCGAACGATTACAAAAGCTATTTTCTGCACGATCGCTTCCGAGTGATACACGCAATGAGTAAACAGTCGCTGAAAACAGTGTTTTTTTGTCAATATTCAAGGATTATGTCATCTTGCGAAAATATAAGGAAATAGTAACCATGTCATTAGAAACCCCTAAGCGTATATACTGCAGGTCAAATATCTGTGTTTTATGCGTATTTTCGTTTGTGGATAGATCAGTGTCAGCGACCAGGAAAGAGAAAATCCAAAAACTGTTTTGTAAGTCCCGACGAACCTTAACAAGTAGTCGTTGTCTGATTGGTTAAATCCATTCGCCGTCCCGCGTTTGAGTGGAGGGTCACAGCTCGCTCAAAGGTTAGCTGACGCGACCTTCTACTAGGTTTTGTTAGACTCAGTATAGCAGTGTAACGAATAATACTGAGCCTAAGTTTACTTAGACTGAAGAAAAGCTAGAAACATTTCTGAGTACTGCAGTGACGCTCTCCCAGAGTCCCAGTTGTTGCCACTGACTACCTGGATGCCTGCCATCTACAGCAGTATGCTTTACTACCATGCAAATACGTGAATTCTTGATGACTCAGAAAAACTGGAAACAAAAAGAGTTGGGGAGAGGGGCCTTGGCACAACAACAAAAAAATACCTGCAGATTGGCAGATTCAGAGGAGAAACAAAAATATCATCGAAATGTTTTGGAATGTCATGGTAGATCAGGCAGATACACATTCAGGCAGATACACATTAAGACATTACAACACTAGACAACCAAGTCACAGGCTACATCCCTCCATTTAAACAAGTAATATCTGCTGTTATTAACTCTCAGAATTCTTCCTCTACATGCTAGTTATATAGGACAGCATTCTCTTGGGTAAAATATACATAATAATGTAACCATTGTAATATAATGTAGTATACACTGTTAAAGTGCCATGACCATTCACTTGAATGGAGTCTGGTACATTATGTATGGACTTATTATAACATAAATTGATTAGTATATTGAACCTCTACATATGTAACACTGCAACACATTAGTGGTTGTTGTGTATAGGGTCCCACGAGACACCGACCTCATGGATCAATGCTTCGACATGATGTGATACCTATGTCAATATTTAAATTCTCTTTGTTTTCAGCAGCCAACATTTTGTTATCAGCTAGTTCATGGATGACTGGTTCATTGGACTCAGTCTCACAGTATTGTACAGCAGATTTAACATGTTGCTGTGTGGCAGGTGGTACGGGTGAAGATTATTCCACTTGCATTGTGACATGCATGTGTGTGTGGATGCTTGTGCTAGTCGAGACTAATGCCGATTTTACAGTGCCAGTCCACAGACAAACAATACCATAGTTTAACATGCAAACAGTCCTTTTTTTTAATCCCGAGCACCAAGTGAGTGAGTGAGTTTGGTTTTATGCCGCTTTTGGCAATATTCCAGCAACATCACGGTGGGGGACACATGTGTGAAATGGATTTCACACATTGTACCCATGTGGGGAATCAAACCCAGGTCTTCGGCGTAATGAGCGAACACTTTAACCACTAGGCTACCCCACCGCCTCCTGAGTACCAAGCGAATTAACAGCCTACTATCTTTTAAAATATTTTGGTATGACACCCCGGGGATTGAACCACCGACCGCCTGCTCTCCAGGCAAGGGCTCTATCCACTACACCAAGCACACAGGATTGACAAATTGGATAGGTGTTTTTTTATTTTGCATTGTCTGACGTAATTGTGAATCGTGACACCCCTGTTAGTCTGTACAATCTGAATATTATCAAATGCGATAATGGATGTACTTAAACAAAATTCTGGACTAAATATGGTATGTTACTGATTAAAATTGGATGACACAACAAAGTTTCTGTACAAAAATACATTTAAGAAGGCACTCCAGGAAGCAGGCATGTTGGAATTCAAAATGAAATACTGAAACATCACAGGATCTAATTCATGTCTTGTTGACAACAGAACATTGATTAGCAGCATATAACTATGTCCTGATTGGATTTGTCTTCTAGAGTAGGGAATTGACCATCTAATAGTCTGGGGGACTGAATCATTTTAATACATTCAACTGTGTATGGACCAACAACACAGTTTGAGGACATTTGAACAACTTACTTTGTGTAAAAAGTGAGGAAATTTTGTCCAGTATTTCTAGAACGAGATCACCCAATGTTAGTTCCTATAGGACAATACGATTACATTCATATGTAATCTTAAGATCAGTTTAACCTTAAGCTGTAAAGGTTTACGGTAAGACAATGAACTACTGTTTAGCCAGACATTATGCAATTACTTTTACCCTTACAGAGGCGGAAACAACAAATGACCAAAAATAGACACTTAGTGTTTACACAGTAACTTTGAGGCAGAGGATGGTCCAAACTATTGTGTGACTGAATCATAACCATTCCCATAAGGATGTGTCACACATTAAATAAACATAAACTGCATGTGTCATACACCAATACGTACACTGTGTGTGCTGAGAGATCTCTCAGAGGGGTCCAGGACAGAAGGACCACGTGGAGCACCATTATTCAACATTTTCCTTCAGAGCTCCAGATTCCTTAACACTATAATCAGCCATGGACAGTTTGTGCTGCCTCTTCTGGCTCATGCACTGTACAAAATATTAGTAACTGATCCTCCTCCATATCTTCAGGGCTCCCATTTTGGTAAAACTACCTTCAGCTTATGTCTTGGTTTACCGCAATGCAAGGGTTAGTGTAGGTTTACTCAAAGTCCTGGAGATATAGAGAATTACATGATATACTGATGGAAACAAGTAAGGGAACACATGAAAGTACAAGTGTTCCTTTATTTATTCCCAGAGTTTTACCCAAAGTGCACAAAATAAGCAAAGAAAAGGATTTAGGAACACTTGTATTCTCATGTGCTACCTTATTAGTTTCCATCAGTATATAATCAGTGATTGGTATATTTTCCCATGAATTCTGTGATCTAATATTTTACAATTATATTAGTTTAATTTGTGGACAGTAATAAAATGAGTACAAGAGAAACAAATGTAATATATCAGATTCAAAGCCTGCTGTTATTGCAAGCTTTCATAGAAGCTGTGTTTGTATTAAAGCACAGTGTACCATGTAAACATTTAATATACTGTCTACTGTGAATTACAGAACTGGATCTACTTATGTACAGCTGTCAATGGCGGAGACATGATGCCTGGTATACTAAGTAGCTCTTCATGCTGAACACAGGTGCTGTTGCCAGGCAACCACGCTGATCTGACTAAGGTGCCAGTTGTGCATGTAGGATGAGGGACAGAGATATTGGCAACTATTTGCAGTAATTAGCTGTCCTACACAAACAGCAGAAGCCATAACTAGGATAATACAACAGTGACAACTACCCTTCATTTGTCAGTACTTCTATCTGATTTGATTTTGACAGTTCTCGTAACGAAGTTGAAAATATGTTTTGTGAGTAGTGATTGTCTTGCATGTAACCTGTGCCCTGTACAGAGCATGTTTTGTCTGTCCTGACTGTCTCTGTTATAGTGTCAATGCCCTGTGTAGTGCCTGTCTCTGGTATAGTGTCTGTGCCCTGTGTAGTGCCTATCTCTGTTATAGTGTCTGTGCCCTGTGTAGTGCCTATCTCTGTTATAGTGTCTGTGCCCTGTGTAGTGCCTGGCTCTGGTATAGTGTCTGTGCCCTGTGTAGTGCCTGTCTCTGGTATAGCGTCTGTGCCCTGTGTAGTGCCTGTCTCTGGTATAGTGTCTGTGCCCTGTGTAGTGCCTGTCTCTGGTATAGTGTCTGTGCCCTGTGTAGTGCCTGTGTCTTCTATAGTGTCTGTGCCCTGTGTAGTGCCTGTCTCTGGTATAGTGTCTGTGCCCTGTGTAGTGCCTGTCTCTGGTATAGTGTCTGTGCCCTGTGTAGTAGTCTCCTGTATAGTGTCCTGTGTAGTGCCTCTCTGGTATAGTGTCTGTGCCCTGTGTGTAGCTCTGTCTCTGGTATAGCCTGGTATAGTGTCTGTGCCCTGTGTAGCTCTGTCTCCTGGTAGTGCATAGTGTCTGTGCCCTGTGTAGTGCCTGTCTCTGGTATAGTGTCTGTGCCCTGTGTAGTGCCTGTCTCTGGTATAGTGTCTGTGCCCTGTGTAGCACCTGTCTCTGGTATAGTGTCTGTGCCCTGTGTAGCCTGTGTAGTGCCTATCTCTGGTATAGTGTCTGTGCCCTGTGTAGTGCCTGTCTGGTGGTATAGTGTCTGTACCCTGTGTAGCAGCCTATCTCTGGTATAGTGTCTGTGCCCTGTGTAGTGCCTATCTCTGGTATAGTGTCTGTGCCCTGTGTAGTGCCCTGTCTCTTGGTATAGTGTCTGTGCCCTGTGTAGCCTATCTCTGGTATAGTGTCTGTGCCCTGTGTAGCCTCCTATCTCTGGTATAGTGTCTGTGCCCTGTGTAGCCTCTGGTATAGTGTCTGTGCCTGTGTAGCACCTCTCTGGTATAGTGTCTGTGCCCTGTGTAGTGCCTGTCTCTGGTAGTGTCTGCGCCCCTGTGTAGCTCTGTCTCTGGTATAGTGTCTGTGCCCTGTGTAGCACCTGTCTCTGGTATAGTGTCTGTGCCCTGTGTAGCACCTGTCTCTGGTATAGTGTCTGTGCCCTGTGTAGTGCCTGTCTCTGGTATAGTGTCTGTGCCCTGTGTAGCACCTGTCTCTGGTATAGTGTCTGTGCCCTGTGTAGCACCTGTCTCTGGTATAGTGTCTGTGCCCTGTGTAGCACCTGTCTCTGGTATAGTGTCTGTGCCCTGTGTAGCACCTGCCTCTGGTATAGTGTCTGTGCCCTGTGTAGTGCCTGTCTCTGGTATAGTGTCTGTGCCCTGTGTAGCACCTATCTCTGGTATAGTGTCTGTGCCCTGTGTAGCGCCTGTCTCTGGTATAGTGTCTGTGCCCTGTGTAGTGCCTGTCTCTGTGTAGTGCCTGTGTCTGTGCCCTGTGTAGTGCCTGTCTCTGGTATAGTGTCTGTGCCCTGTGTAGTGCCTGGTCTCTGGTATAGTGTCTCTGTCTCTGGTATAGAGTCTGTGCGTGCCCTGTGTAGCACCTGTCTCTGGTATAGTGTCTGTGCCCTGTGTAGTGCCTGTCTCTGGTATAGTGTCTGTGCCCTGTGTAGTGCCTATCTCTGGTATAGTGTCTGTGCCCTGTGTAGCACCTGTCTCTGGTATAGTGTCTGTGCCCTGTGTAGCACCTGTCTCTGGTATAGTGTCTGTGCCCTGTGTAGTGCCTATCTCTGGTATAGTGTCTGTGATCATGAGTGTCAGATATTAATGGGGGAAACTTTTTTCATCATGATAGTCACAAGCAGTTGACAAAAGCAAAGAAACAAAATGTTGCAAAACAAAACACTGCATTGTTTGTATTAAAACAATTCTGAATAATCTATCCTTCATTTGGACACAACGTGTCAAACCAATAATAATATAATCATATGGTCTCTGGTAACATGTAACAAATCAGTTCCCTGAAGTAGTTACTACTCATTTAAAATATCAAGTGGAGTGCTCAGTCACTTGAGTGAAATCGTCATAGCATCTGTGATTACTATTATGCCAGTATCATCAATGTATAAGTCATGGTTCGTCAACATGGGCATTGAGTCTTCTCATTATACAGACAAACATCAAGCACACACACAGATGCTCAGATACACTGTTTCCATGGAGATGGACAAGTTAAAAATGAAGCCCACATGAGTGCTGATTCCCTAAACCCTACATGCACTCATACTTAGTCTCCGTCATGAAAATATTTTCAAGCATTTGTGAGTGTTGAATTCTCTTTTGATATCTACAACTCAAAAGATTGATTGATTGAGTTTAGTTTTATGCCGGACTCAGCAATATTCCAGCTATATGGTGGCAGTCTGTAAATAACCGATTCTGGACCAGACAACCCAGTGATCAACAGCATGAGCATCGATCTATGGGATACGATGACGTGTCACCAAAGTCAGCGAGCCTGACCATCCGATCCTGTCTGTTGCCTCTTACGACAAACATGGGTTACTGAAGATCAATTCTAACCCGGATCTTCTTCCCAAAAGAAAAGCGAAGACCTGATCATTCTATATTAGTGTAGTGAATCTGTCACACCATGACAGAGTAACTGTCGAGATTAAACACTAAATAATTACTGTAAGTCTGGTCCAAATCTGATTGTAAAAGTTGACCTAAACAGTGACGAAAGACTGCATTAAAGTACTCAGTCAAGTGTTCATCATAAAAACTGACAAATGTCAAAAGACCATCAATAGACTAGGTCCATGTCCAAATAACAAACTAAAATCAATCTTCTTTGTTACCTCCTAGTTTACAGACCTCCTATAATTTACAGCTATTGCTACGAGGAGCCTGAGGGTTGGCAAGGAAAGATAACTCTCACTCCAAAAATACATCTTTCAACAGACAAAATTTTGATTGCCTTGCTGAAACACTTGCTCTGAGTAAGGTTAAAATTTAGTGTACAATAAGAAACATATTAAAACCTGTACATGGCAATCATGATGAGGACAGATGATCACAATCTCTCAGAGCCACTCTGGGTTTGGGCTGCACAGGGCAGTACAACTAAAATCATGGCTAAAGTATTGTTAGTTTGATTTCTTGCAAAGAATACATGTAGGTCAGTCTTTCACTTACTTATGGGGAGGGTTCACATTTAACAGCAGGTGCTTGTATAACAGTAAAATACACACACATGTCAGATCATGTAGCATTATTGCTGCATGGTACATAGCACCATCTCACAAAACTGAAAAATAACGTACAATGATCTAGTAAAATAGATTTCCCAAAGTAAACAAAATGAAAGCATAAACTGACCTCACTTTCATCTTTCGCTCAACAACAAATGCTTCAAGCTGAGCCAAACAATATGGAAATAAAATCCAGGAAAGTCTAACTTCAGAGTCATGAATGCCTGGGTGAGATCTCAACTGACGTAAATAAATGCACGGGCATGGACAAATGTTGCAAGAACAGGCAATCACATGGATAACATGATGTGGTTCAAGATTCTGTTGCACATTCAACAATCAAGATATATACCTACACGCCACACGGCCAAGAAAACAAATAAAAACATCCCTCATCAGAGGCTTATGTAAACAATGAACAGGTCAGTGAGCTTCTTTTGAGAGGGGAAAACAAATGGATTTCAAACAGTTTTGCTTGCATCAACGGGACCATTATAAGATGCCATATATGGGCATGGGAAAGTAGTTCTCCCATTCTGGACTTTTACCTATTGGCTTGCTCTGTTAATACCCCACTGTTGACTGCATGCTGTACACAATGGCAGAAGATTTGGAGAAAACTATTCATAATTTGCTAGCAAACACCATAGGTAAAAGTGTTACAACTGTTGTAAGGATGTGTTCGGGAATGTGATAGTCACATAAACTTGAGAAACCAGTAAATAGAGATCCAATAGACACCATGTTGGACACCATGAACTAATTAACAGGAACGTGTTGGCAATAACAGTACCTTATCAAACCACAACTGATTGCCTCAAATCTATTCCATAGCATATTGAAAAGAGAAACAATTTTAAAACTGTTCATGACCTCCTTTGTAAGTGTCTAGAGTATAAGAGTGGACAGTTTCATGTGATAATTTGCAAAATTTAATATTTGATAAAGAAACAATTAAAATATGTTGGCTCCACTGACTCAGTTTAAAACGCAATATAGAATGCGGTGATGTTACTTAAAGGCACTATTTCACACTACACTTCTAAAAAAAAATATGCATTTCTCTCAATAATACTAACTATTAGCTCTCAGGGAAGCTACCATGTAATTTATTAAAAACAATTACGTATTTAGATTACAATATTAAAATTAAAACGTTCAAATGAATTAATGCAATGTTGCATTAAATCGACCGGCCAAACATGATTTCAAGCGGACCCCATAGAGTTATGTCCCTTGGAGCGCTCTTTATGAATTTCCTACGCACAACTTGTGATTGAAACCAGTTCGGTAAACACCGACAACACCGCGTGCAACAGTTTTTGATGTATGGAGTTTTACATTCCATATATGGCAAGTGTTCTCTGTTTGGAAGCTGCCTCGAAGTTTCAATTATCGATTTCAGGCAAGTCGTAAGGGATAATATGTTTATTGCATCGATAGGATGCTAAAGTGAGTGCATATGCCCCAATATATATAACACAGGCCAAAATATTGTCGAAAATGTGTGAAATTGTGCCTTAAGGTTAATTACAAAAGGTAAACAAGGGCATCCTGTTTATCAGAGATATTCAATCATGCACCACTTAAGTGTTATACAAGAAATTGTTTCGAAAAATCTTTCAGACGTTGGTATTGTAAACCTTTGTGTCAACATGAATCTCATCATTTAAGACAGGACTTTATATTAGTGGAGTATGAACCTTTATATAGGGGCGGCCATACTATATCAATGTTCAAGCTATTTATTCATGCAAGGGAATTCGTTTCTTTGGGAAAGTGAAAGTAGGATATCACTTTTTACATCATTTTAACAAAACATAAAAACTTCATACTCATGTGGTCATGGGATGTCCAGTGGGAACGCTGAATATCGTGTAAACTTCACATAAAATTATTATCTGGTTTCAACAAGCCAGACAATGAAGCTCTGATAAACTCATAAAACCTTGAATACTGACTGACTGACTGAGTTGAGTTTTACACCGCTTTTAGCAATATTCCAGCAATATCACGGCGGGGGACACCAGAAATGGGCTTAACACATTGTGCCCATGTGGGGAATCGAACCCGGGTCCTTGGCGTGACGAGCCAACGCTTTAACCACTAGGCTACCCCACCGCCCCTAAAACCTTGAATAACATCTGACTACTAAAGAGAAGCTGTGAAATTAAGGCACAATGTTTCCACATAAAAGCAGCTCTTCATTGGAAATAACAAACAAGAACTGATCAACATTATTTTGCAACAAGTGGCTCCTTATGAAACACTGTATTGCCTTTCTTAATGTCTTCAGACATTTTATAGTCACACGGAAACAGACAATATTCCTGAGAAAGATTGATTATGCCAACATGTTCTTTCGGTTTCTAAGATTCATTATAATGGCTGGATCCTTTGCATCTATCAAAACAAACACATTTGGCATCAAATAATAAAACAGTGGAAATGTAAACATGTCTTAACTGATAAAAATATATTTTAATATTAAAAACATCTCAAAGAAGAACATTTACCAATATTTACTTCAAATAACTCCAGCATATAATGTAATGAAATTATAATTTTCTTCTAAAACTTACTCATATATACACCTTAAAATCTTTTTAAAATATAATACCCAAGAAAAAGGATAAAAAACATGGTTATCATGCTTTTGTCATCCTGCATGAAATATACTTTTCAACTTTTTGACCAAATATCAAATTCACAGCACTGGATGGAAAGTTATTTAACTAACATGGGAATTGTGCTACCCATTTGCTCAAACTTAATCAAACGGATGTTTCTTACTTAAACTATGAGTCGTTGAAATCAGTTGAACTGGGCACATCATATTACCAGCACAATTATTAAGCTCTGAGATCTGGGGGAACACATGGGAGGTCAGTAAGATTTCATTTCCCTGAATACAACTGTTTGTAGATGTAGTTGACGAAGAAGAAGGTGGAGAGGAGGGCCATCACCAGCATGGTTCGGATGCGCCAGTGCGCGCGGGACCGGTGCAGCTTCTTGTGCAGCTCCACCACCTGCGTCTCTGTCATCTCCACCGCTCCGCTGTTGTCGACGATGTAAGTGGCACGCTTGCACTTCTCCGATAGCGCCATCTGGGAGCAGATCCTGGAGTCAGCATCAGGTCGGGACAGGTTGTTCCTTGCCATCAGGCGCTGCATTTGTTGTCTTTCTGAACTGCAAGAAGACATATGGGGGTAACTTTGAACCACTGTCACCATCACAAAACTGTCACAATCCATGTACAAACCCCATAGCTTGCTGGGACCTCTTCTAACCCCGTATTTTCATGGGACCTCTGACCCATGAAGGTCTGGGTTAGAATGAACCTTCAGTAACCCATGCTAGTCGTAAGAGGCAATCGTGTGGTCAGGCTCGCTGGCTTGGTTGACACATGTCATCGGTTCCCAATTGCGCAGATCGATGCTCATGCTGTTTATCACTGGATTGTCTGGTCCAGACTCGATTATTTACAGACCGCCATACAGCTGGAATATTGCTGAGTGTTGCGTAAAACTAAACTCACTCACTCATGGGACCTCTTTTAACTCAGAATATCCATTGAAATTCTTCCAGCTTAAAATCTCCACACAACCTCTCCAAGCTTGAATCCTGAATCCCTCTTTGAAACACAAAATTTTTATGGGACCTCTAGTAACTCAGAATATCTACTGCAATTCTTCCAAATTAAACTGCTCATGCAACCTCGCTAACCTTGAATCCCGACTGGATCTTGTCTCATCCAGAATCCTCACAGGATCTGTTCTAACATGGAATTCCCATGGATCCCCTTCTAACACAATACCCTCATCCACCCTCTCTGAAACCAGAATACCACATACCGCCTCCATGGTGTAGTGGTTAGAGTGTCTGCCCAGAGAGCAGAAGGTAGCGGGTTCGATTTCCGGCCACATCATACGAAAAGACGTTAAAATATGGTACTTGTTGGTCTCTGCCTGGCCCTCGGCATTAATGGGTACAACAAGGACTGGTCGGCTCAGAGTCAGTATAATGTGTCTCAGTGGGGTATTCATGCTTAACTGCTGCATGGTATCTCAGTGGGCTAGCACTATAAAACCAGCTTAAGTCTGGGCTAGTATAAACATCAACACAATGATACACACATATGCACGTCGTCATATGAGCGAAATATCTGAAGTACGACGTTAAACCCCGTTTCACCTCACCTCACCAGATTCTCACTGAAGGAATTCATACTAAAGAGATATCAGAAGACTATGTTTCTTACCAGGACACAACGACTGTGTATGTCATGTAAGGCACCATCTTGCCACTCTCAAACAGCAGGGGAGTGTCCAGCACCACAAAACTGTACCCTGGAAGTCATCACAACATTCAGCACACATACAAAACATGGCAGCTTTTGTATGCAGAAATAAGTGGTTCTCAGTGATGACCTCTGACAACATACACCTACAATGCTCACCTGACTTATGAACAATTTCAAGATGCTTCATCCTAATATGTTACCAAGAATAAAACCAAATGGCAACCACTTAAAAAAGTAATCTCTTCCGAATGTATGTATGCACTTACTTGAAACATGTAGAAAGGCTGGTAAGCGGTGGAATCTATAAGATATGGTTTTTTTAACCTACTTCAATTTTGTTTTACAGAATTTTCGTTTTGATTCATGTCAGCAACCATTATTCTGTAATGTGTAATGGTTACTATATACAACTATGCCAAATTGAATTAATAAACTAGAGAACGGTTCTTAAGATATTCCAATTCGTACGTACGGACGGACGGACGGAGCCTAATACTATATCCACAGCTTCGCGCTAAACGAAGTGAAGGTCACCAAAATCCACTGGTCCCTGCGCCTTCCCTAGATAAAGCTTGGTTTTGAATATGAAGAAAATCCAGTGAACGGTTCTTGAGATAGCTTAACATGCAGGCAAAAAGGGAAAGTCCCCTTGTGACCTTGAAATGAAGGTCAAGGTCACCAAACCTGACTTGGACCTTTCTTATAGAGTGATGAACCTAGGTACTAAATATGAAAAGAATCTAGTTAACGGTTCTTAAGATATTCCAATTCGTACGGACGGAGCCTAATACTATATCCCCCGCTTCGTGCTAAAATCGCGGCGGGGGATAATTAAACAGATGACCCAGCAAATGCCAATTTATGGGTTTCAAGTCATGAATTTCCATGAGCACAATTATAAGAGGCACCATAGCTGAGATATTCATTTCAGCTTCCAAAATGAAAATATTCCAAAATACAGTTGAGCACCGTTGTGTCGAAACTTTAATAACTCGATATCTCGGTTGTCTCGATATAACATATCGGTCCTAGCAAAATCCTTCATAATTTATCATTATTCAAGCTCTTTTAACTTGATACGGATGTCTCGATATTTCGGTTATCTCGAAATAATTTCATGGTTCCAACAAGCAAAATTACCCTTTTAACTCGATATTTGCAAAGAAACTCGATATTCGCCCACCTTTCATGGGCAAGTATCCCTCTGAACTGAGGTTGTTTCCACACGCTTACACACGGTGCGGCATGAATCAAAGGGTTGCGGTAGTGTAAACTAATCAGGGCTAATTGAGTTGAAGGTGTCACTTGTTTGTTATTTAATTAGGATTAATTAAGAAAGAATTAACAGAGGCCCAGATAAGCTGCGTGTCCGGGTAAAATACGCATAGAAAATTTCCAATTACGCATTGAAAAATAATTCTTGCATACCAATTACGCATTTAAAATGTTAGATACGCAAAAAGTTTAAAACAAATGCGTACGGAATATATTTATAAAAATCGCTTGCCTTATGAAAAAGACATCGATTGCTATCAAGTTGTACTGTTAGTATAGGACAAGTGTTGTACTGTCAGTATAGGACAAGTGATTTTTTATGAAATCCTTTCCATATTTAAGTTGGTTTTGATTAGGTATGACATAAGGCAGAACATACCTGCTTAGCAAACTTACTCAATGACATAATACTTAGGTGAGTAAAATGACTGAAATACGCACATATTTGAAAGCAGTGGGTAACGGAAAATGAAATACCCACTCAACATTCATAATACCCACTCCAAAAAAATACAGTGGGTACAGTGCCCACATGAGCTAAATCTTATCTGGAGCTCTGATTAATTAGTAAGTACTCACTGACTAAACAGTACTATTCACGGATTATAGTTTCGAATCAAAACATACTGAGAAGCGTTTTGTTTTCTTTCATAGTGATATGCCATGATATGCCCTGGTCTGATGTCTCGAAGTTCGGATAACTCAATATTTTTTCTTGGTCCCATGAATATCGAGACAACGGTGCTCGACTGTATATCTAATGCTATTCACATACTACATGGTTTTGGTGGTTTAATTTTCATAATGACACACGAAAAAAAGCTGTTTAACCTGAATGATGTGTGAGTGAATATGGTTTTACGCCGCTTTTAGCAATATACTAGAAATAACATGGTGGGGAACACCAGAAATGGGCTTCATATATTGTACCCATGTGGGGAATCGAACCCAGATCTTCGGCATGATGAGCAAACCTATTAACCACTGGGCTCCCCCTCCGTTGATGAACACAATTAATGACACACTTTTATCAGCTGGCTCATCAGCCAGTGTACTGGGAATAAGATGCTGGATTCTTCAACTTACCCAGAACAAAATATTTGAGGAGCAGCCATAGCATCTTCTTGTAGATCTCCGGGTGTGTGAAGGAGTTGAGAAGTTGCCGCTTTTCGCCATCAGAGAAAATTGCAGCGCCCAGTTTGGCTCGATTCAGTGTTCCATCATCGTGAAAGAAGTCTTCACCAAAGTTTTCTCGGATCTTACACCAAAGTTTTCTCGGATCTTACACCAGGCAGGTTTGCCAGGCTCGACAACTGGAAACACAAATAGTCGGTCAAAATGGCCATCTTCCAGGCAGTCTAGTCACTGAAACATCTACCAGGGAAAGGAGCATGCATAATGTCGGAGCGTCCAAAACAGAAAGATTGCATCAAGGTCAACTCAGGAATGATCAGATGCTACACTGTACTTACAGTCAAACACCCATATTTAATTGTCTTCAACCTGATGTCTGTTGCCAGCCATCAAACATGTCACAAGCTCCAGTCAGTCGTACACTTTTTAAGAGTAAAACTATGACCGCCATAGGAGGTATTCTTAAAGCTGTCTCAAACCCTTCACAACCTTATCTTACTTAAAACACAAGAATAACTTAAGCTTTTTAGTGGTGGAGGTATTGCTGAAATAGCCAGTTTTTCATCTTAAACGTAAGGTAACTTAGTGATACGAGTTCTTGGGGAAGAAACAAAATGAAGATATTTTTCACTGTGACCCCTTTGTGACACTGAAAAACTGCTGGGACAGTTTCATTAATGGGCCTTCTGTATCTGACCCTTATACAGTGCAATATCTGTTACACACATGTAGAATTGCTGCTTTCTGTCTGACTTAAATACAGCATTTTCCCAGAGAAACTGCTTTCCCAAAGGATAATCAACAATTCTGATCACACAAATACAGCAGTAATTATAATTTCAAACAACACATCTTACTAAATTCTTAGAACAAGAGGCGACTAATGTGATCGGATGGTCAGGCTCGCTTACTTGGTTGACACATGTCATCATATCCCAATTCTGTCGATAGATGCTCATGATGTCAATCACTGGATTGTCTGATGAAGTCGTGATTATTTACAGACAACCGCCATACAGCTGGAATATTGCCGAGTGCAGCGTTAAACAACAAACCAACCAACTGCAGTCACACTTCTCAAAATCCAATTATAGAATGATCAATTGTTAAGGCACAGTTTGATCAGTAACTATCGAGGCCTCACGCATTCCTGCTACAGCAAATGAATGACAACAAAATGCCAATATCATACTTACAACCAAGAAAGTTAGATGTAAGATGTCAGGCAGTTACCTTGTCCAGGAATACATCCCTCAATATCCATACATAGCAACAATATTCCTTACATCATAAGCGGTACATAAATTTTTTGATGTTACATGTCTTTGTAACAATCAAAAATATAAAAATATCGGGATATTATATTCCATGTTCATCTCTCAGCTGATCGCGCAAGTTTCAGTTGTTTCTCATCAGAGTCATGTCTCATTAGTCAGCTGAGAAAGCACACGTGACATCTATGTTCATGATATCCACAGTTCTTTGAGAAATCAATCAACGTATTATCGGCTAATCCTTTGAATAAAATATGATGTTTTAACACAGGTATATTATGCCTGCTATAGTGAACCTACATACATAAACACTTTGCATGAATCCACTTTGCAACATACCATTGATTAATCAATCAACTTATTACTGGTTAATCCTTTGATGGAAGTGTTTGGCAACTCAACTGCCCATTCCTGCTCTGTTGCCACAAGCATATTACATAACATGAAATACACTCACTACACCAAACTTTCGTATAAGCCAATATTGAACTGAATAATTAAACCAGACAAGACAAGATGCCAAATAAAATAACTATACATCCTTGACACCCTCAGAGGCAGGGGTGAACATTATTGAGTTATTTAGCATAGTCTAGTTAATCCACTAATCAATACTTGTAACAAGTCAGCAAATGAGCATCAAGTGAAACGCAACAAATACACAGTTGTAGTGTTTATTCATGATAGCATGAATGCCTAGAAGGAAGTAGTAATTGTTGCATATACAATTTTCCTGAAAAAGTAATTTTCATTTCTTTTTTGAGTACATTAACTGAACTTCCTTGATGCGAAAATAATATACACACATAAATATATGAAGGTACATAATTCTAAATACACATCTACACACATATATGAATTTGCATGGTTAAGGTATTGGTGAGCATAATCTGATCAAATATGAGAATTTAAGGGGATCATCCGGGTTTTCAATGAGGGAGTCTCTTTATCTGTCCAAATCATAGTTTGCAGGGTAGATGATACTGACTGGCATCCTCTGTTCAACATGGGCTAACTAAAATGGCACTGAATGGACAACTAATGGTTGCAGTTTTGTTTTGCTTTAATGTATTGTACACATAAAGTAAATTTTACTTTTTTCTGGACTCTTTACTGGTCGTTTCATGAGAGGAAATTCTATGGTGTTTCGGCCAGTTTGATCATAGCCTTTACTAGCAAATTTGTGATGTTTTGCAGAGAAGTGTTAAAATTCACATCCTGTTGCAGAAAGTGGCCCTGAGTTGTTTGTACCAAAAAAAGAACATTTTCAAACACTTTTAGTAACAGGTTTATATAATTGTTTTATTGCCTTATAATATGTTTTGGCACACCTTACCATGAAGAAAAATAAAAAAATAAGCAGGTCATTTCACCAGGTGTACCTTTAAACTGGAAAATAGAGGGTGCTTCGACCTGGGCTAACTGCAAACTCACCATCCCTTGCAAGCTTGTCAGCGTCAATGACAGGGCAACCAAGTTGTCGGAATTTGTTGGAAACTGTAGTTTTGCCTGTCGATATTCCGCCTGTCAAGCCAACCAAAAAACATTTCTGACCGATCGAAGCTTGTTTATGTTACGAAGTCAACGTTGCACCTTTCCATTTCTTGAGAAAGTTGTATTTGTTAGAGTTACCGTCCTTGATATAATGAATGTGTTAGGGAGACAACTATTTATACACGTATAGAACGAGTACGGACGTCTGTCAATGAACATGTTTATTCAAATGAAACATTGAATATTGGAAATTCATGGAACATTTAATGGATTCAATTAAGGAAGATGTTTAAACCAATTGTCATTCTTAAACAATCAGACTGACTTTCAACACTATTTTGGAATCTATGCAAATAATCGGAAGCAGTGACACATATTATAAAGTTGTAATGCTCTCATGTTTTTCTAGAATGTGAGCTTGTCAAAGAATTCTGGTTTAATGTGGAATCATACCCGGACTCTTATCTTCATGAAGAAATTAAAGTCAACACTTGTGCTATATTCTTTTTGGTTTCCCAGCCAAATTTAAGTTAATGGATAATTTAATCTTGATATGTACAAGACATGTATTTTTAAGTAGCTTTAAAGGACAACACTCAGTTCATATTGTGATAAAAACCTTCACACAGATATATTCTATTGAAAAGTTCATTGCCCGCAAGAACAATAAGGGACTATGTTCGAAAAACAATGGGCTCCATTGTCTGATGCTTTTGAATAAGTCTCACGACTTCTCGCTTTTCATAATTATTGTTTCTATATTATGCTTGGTGTTTATATGCACTGGGAGCCCAGTAACTAACAATTTGTAACTTTATCTTGGCATGGTATGTTATTTACATTTCATGGCTTTTGTGCCCACTACTTTAACATGTTGTGCCTTAACTTTGCAGTATCAATTACTGTCTTTAAAAGGGAAGCTTCATCAATCCCAATCTGAGCCTACTAGTGAGGCTTAGTGTGTTAATACTAGACTTGAAATTGTCTCAATTACAAACTATTGCCTGTACTACCTGTAACCAATATTCCATCCATGTATACACCCACCTTCAGTTGGTATCCATGTAATCTGAATTTGCCGGAATTAAAATTTAAAAAGTTGTAATGCTCCTAGCTGCATGGTGATTTCCTACGCTTGAACTTTGTCCTCTTAAATAAACCACTGACTCCTGAACACAAAGGGAGTGATAATGGCTCTTGTGTTTGTAGAACAAAAAATAACCTGTGGAGCATAACAAAACTCAAAGCTGGAACAGGTCCGACTGATTCTAAGAGCTGACTAAGATTAAATCAGGACAGAGAGTAATTTCTGCAGATGATTTGGTGTTAGCAATGAAAGCATGGGATGGAAACAGTTGGTGATACAGCAAAGTTGATGGATACCTCATGTTCATCATGTGTACCATAACACGTCACAGTTGACAATGGTTCTGTGTTTGCTGAGCTAACAATTCAATTACTAATAATCAACAACTACAGAGTGGTTTGATTTGACACATTTTTTTATCTGTAAATCTTTGATCTTCTCCATGAAGAGACAGGTAATTAAGAATATCTTAATTCTTACTAAACATGCTGATCATAATGAAAAAAGTATTTGTAAAAAATATCAAGTGGTGTTTATTATGGTAGATTATTTCAGTGTATATACGAAGGCATGGAGCCAGTTTCTCCAACCATAATGGGTCTGTACACATTTTCACTCAGTGACATTTTAGCATTGTGATATATTATTAGCCATAACCCTCTTGGATCCTAATTTCATAAAAATAATTTTAATAACTTATGTAACACAAGTACAAGCTAAACTGCTTTCAGCCATTTTGGTTTTGCTATCCATTGCCCACAAATACATTTTGTAGAAATGTTGCGCAATTGTTTCACCAGACGGTCTAAGACACCGATTTGATTGATATTAGTAGTAACGAAAGTACTCTAGTATTATCCTATAGAGAAATATATTTGATCATGAACATGAACTATATTTGAAATTAGTTTTTTTATAAATCCGTAACCGTTGAAAGTGTAGATGTTTGCGCGAATGGTGCTTAAAGAAATAACCGGGTGACTAGAAAGTAAACGCTTATAGGAATCATTTTGTTGTATTTCCATGCCATTCGTTTCACGTGCAGAACATCAATATTTAACTCTGATTATTAAATTTCAAGATGTCAGCGCCCACGATACCCAAACATCACATACGAAAGGAAGTTTGTGTCACTCGCCCTGCATACCGTGAAGGCCGACTGGAAAAGGCAGTGAAAGTAAGATAATTTCACGAAAAACAACTTATTCAACTTATTATAGTGCATTGTTCGGAAAGCTGAAACTAACAATACGACGGGCCGACGTTCTGACATAGAGGCAGCACGATATTTTGTTTACTTTGTGCATCTCGACTAGTCTGTACCTAAACGCCTGTTTATGATTAAGGAATATTAGCTCAGTACTGTCACTAGGGCCTGCATGGAATTTAGCCGAGATTTGTGATGAAATCCGACAGTGATGACCCAAAATCTAACGTCCAACACTCGCGAGAACACTGGCTTCACCAGCTCAGACAGTTAAACGTCGGGTCTCCCTAATCTGAATGACGAATGACAGCGAATGACGAATGTATTTTTGCAACAGCTAAACGTCGGGTCTCGGGAGTACTGCACTTTACCGCACACTTTTTTCAGATTAATTAGCGCTGCTGGGGTTCCCTAACCCTAACCCTAAGGATCGTAGGGTGCCTAACCCTAAACCCTAACCCTAAGGATCGTAAAGGGTGGCATACCCTTACCCTAACCCTAAGGATTGTAAAGGGTGGCATACCCTTACCCTAAACCCTAAACCCTAAACCCTAACCCTAAGGATCGTAAAGGGAGCAGCGAGGGCTGCGCCCGGTAAAGTGCATTCTAGCCGGGTCTCCCTAATCTGAATGACGAATGACAGCGAATGACGAATGACAAATGGATTTTTGCACAATGAAGTCTCCCTTGTTCGTTGTATAGCCGGCAAAACATTTTGAAAATTCTTATTTTTTTCAGTTTGACAATACGGCAAAATTTCTCAACAATAATATATTCTAACCAGAGAAATATAATATAAAGGAACTCCAACTTAGATCAAGAGACATAAATGAAATGTAAATTTTACTGCTGAAAGAATTTGTTCCTAAAGGGTGTATATATATAGCACCTTGTTTAGTAACAGATTTTTAAACTTATCCTATCTCACGATTTGCACTTATCTCTCTTGCTTCGACGCTGAGTGGAACGAATGAGAACTTTTCCTGTAGGCCTATTTGGCAATACGCCCGTGTTCCCCAAGCTGCTCTCCTTATAGGACAGGTCCCTAGTCCCCGGCTAAGCGTGCAGCACATTCCCCTGTCTACCCACGTGACTACCTCCGGTGATCATTCTTCTTCTTGTCGCACCACTGTGTGGACGCATTGTGAGAGTTCTCAGATTTCCTTACAAGTTAACATGAGAAATATATCATGGGTAGTTGACCCTAAGTAGCGTAATTTTGCACACACTGTAACAATAATTACTTCCTTGGATCCCACTCGTCATGTGTGGGTTGTATTGACCTGTGTTCCTGGAGCAAACGTTGTCGGGAATGTGCTCCCTTATCAAGGACATTTTTAGAGCATATAGACATGCTTGCTCCAGTTGGCTGGCAGACAGAGCTCGTTACACTTCAATAGTTGATCACCCGACAAACCCCTGCTTTCAACGACCAGTATTAACTGCTCGTCGTCCGGAGATTCCCATGTCGGATGGTGATGATTTTATTGGCGCATCATCAGATGTCTACTCGTCGTTCCGCCTCATCAAAATGCTCTGTGTTGCCAGCTGACTCACACAGCCGATCTACATCGTCAAATCGTCGAACCGATTCACCACACCGAATCGGTTCGCCTTACCTAAAGGATTCACCAGACCGAACCGTTTCGCCACGGCATATGTGGATTACGACATCGACTCACATTTGCCATAATATTAAGACTGTTTCTTATCGCCGAAACGGTTCACATCATCGATTCGATTCACAGCACCGAAACGCCTCGCCTCGCAGTAACGGCTCTCTTTACCGAAACGATTCACCTCGTTGAACCATTTCACCTCGGCCGGAACGTTTCACCTCGCCTCACCGGTTCATCTGATCGTTCTAGATCTCTCCATCAGCTGAGATCAGTTAAACGTTTCTGATTACCGAACCGATACAAACCAGAAAGAAAATAGCTGCAACACATTTAGCCATCATTATACTATGCCAGCGGATTTCGCTTTAGACTTTGTGACGTAGCACTGCAAAGTTCTGTATTTTCAGAAATACCTAGCTTTCATTATTTTGCACATTTTGAGGTTCATTTTAGCTATGTTATATTGATAAGAAAGAACTAAGTATTACATTTATAAAGGTTACATGGTTTTGAAAATAATGCAAAAATTAACAAAAATAATGAATTATGGTATTATTCTCAACTTCTGTATATAATTTTGAAGTGCAGAAACTGATATAGATGTACTACATTTCATTACAAATGTACCTGCTTATTAAAATACTTGTTTTTATAGACAATTTTAATGTAATTTCTATGATAACATTGATATTTTATACTTATCCTGACTCATGCTTATTGCTTATCTCCTCCTTTCCAACGGTTTAATGGAAACTTGAAACCCTTCAAATTCACTGAAGCGATCGTACAATCAGTCGCCTACGGGATTCACTGTGGCTGTCAGTGGTACAGACTGATCGCTTACCCCCTGGAACCACATCTTGCTGCCTTACTGGTTGTCCAAACAGTCGAATAAGGGGATCACCTTCTCTTAATAACAAGTTAATTTATTAAAAGAAGTAAATTATGTAGATATAGTGGATTTAGATGATCTAGAATTCAATCTAGCGCGGTGGGCGAGCTGGCTAAGGCGCCAGGCTAGTGATCCAGCGAGGTTGAGGTGTCGGGATCGAGCCCACCTGTGACCGGGTGTAAAAACCTTGGAGTCAAGTTTGTGTGCAGACTCTTTCAGTGTTGTCACAACCCCTAGTGTACAGTACACAACCCTGTGCACTTAAAAGAACCCACGAATCTGTTGGTATTTGACCAGATGGTGGCCACATGATTACGTGCAAACACCTAGTTGCGGGTACAGCAACGTGCAGTGAACATGGACAAAGTACTGTGACTATGTGTCCCAGTCCACCCAGCTGTGAATGGGTACCTCGTTAGGATGAGAAAGCCACAATAACTCGGTGCGCCTAGTGGCTGCAAGAGTTGTATACTCCCCAGGGAGCTGAGATTGATAATGCGATGTGCCGTTGAGATTGACATCCAATGATCAAGGGAAAAAATACCAGCGCCTTGAGCATGCACCAGTGATGGATGTGTGCGTTATATAAATATCCTATAATAATAATATCCTATAATAGTTATATTGAAACGAACCAAGCTTAAGGTTAAAGAGAAAGAGATTGTAGTTTGCGAGACTTCAATAGTTGTAGCAGGTGATAATGGAATGAAGAGACATTTGAATTTTCTCCTTCTCGTAGCAGTCCGCTTTACTGACGACGATGCTGGTACATGGGATTGACAATCTGGTTTACCAGGTAGTTGATGTTTAGCAATGAAGTCCCACCTTAGTCCCAGATGGACTGCCACATGTTCTCCAGTGTCGAATCTCATGCGTGCAAAGTCGAGAGCATGTCATTCTAGCTGCTTGCTGTAGCTAATGCTAGGAGAAATATCGTTTTTTGAGATAGTAGCTCAAAAGTCGTGTCTCTGAGAGGTTCATAGTCGTCGCTGGTGAGGTGTTGCAGTTTAATATTGAGGTCCAATGCTGGGGCTCTAAATTTCTGCAGTTGATCCTCCAGTCGACATGATCTTAGAAGGGCGACGGGTTCTGGAACTTGTGAGTTTGACTCCCGAGTTCATTGTTATGACAGAGCTGATAGCTGCCACATATGTTGAAAGTGTTGATCCTTTCAGATGACAGAGATATTCTGCTTCTTGAGGATGAGTAGCTCTCACAGCTGAGAATCCTTTCTAGCAAATTGATCAAAGCTTTTCCATTTGTCATCGTATAGATTTTGTGTAGAACGTCTTAAGGCAAGTGTAACTGCCTTAGCTGCTCTAGTAGAATATCCTCTCTTTTTTAGACAGTGTGTAATATGTTCCATACGTGTAGTCAGAACACTGATGGATTGCCGTGTAGTTATTTCGTGTGAGGATGAATCAGTAGATTGGGCCAATCTGGTAGACTCTGCGTTGGTTCTCGCTGGCCAGTAAGGCGCGACCAAAATCAGTCGTAGGGCTTTGGTCAGAGCGATTTTTCATATTATCTGAGGCAGTTACTAGGTATTGGAGGTGGAAAAGTGTACACATTTAGACCTTCCCATGATATGGCTAGAAAGTCTAGCGTCCAGGCTAGAGGGTCTGGTACTTGTGAGACGAACATTGCAATTTGATGATTGAAGTGTGTCTCAAACAGGTGAGTGGTCAACCCTGTTCTCTCGTTATCAGTTGGAATGCTTCTGGGTGAAGCATCCATTCTATCGGAGATGGTCGAACTGGTCTTGATAACGTGTCTGCTGGGACGTTTTTCGCTCCTGGGATGTGACAGGCTCTTATCCACAGGTTGAGATTGTCCACCAAATTGAATAGTTGAAACAGCGTTGACTTTGTTGAGCCTTGTAGGTTTATGTAAAACGCTACTGTCGAGTTGTCTGTGTGTATCATGAGAAACTGGTCTCTCAGTACATGTGACCAATATTGAATTGCCTCGATGAGTGCCTTGAATTCTAGTTGGTTTGTGTGCAGGCTCCTTTCGCTTGGTGACCAAATGCCTGATGCAGTCTCCTCGTTGAAGTGTGCTCCCCATCCTTGTAGAAGTGCATCTAGAAAGAGATGTAGCCTGTAGGCCGGCTCTTGCAAATAAGTCCCGTCGCAGACGTTCGACTTGATTGTCCACCAAAGTAGAAATTCCTTCAGATGCTGAGGAACTGGTATTGCATGTCAACTTTTTAAGTGAGGGGTTAGAAAGCATTGAATCGTATGTAATTGTCCCTTTCCTCTGCAAGTCTGCAGTGAGGAGGCCTAGCAGTTTCTGCCAATCTCTTATCAGGAGAGGTTCGTTGAAGGTGGTGTGTAGACAATTCTGTAAGTTGTTCCACCGTTCCTCCGGATCTACTGTGTGATTCTGTGTGGTGAGGAACCGGATTCCGAGAAACTGTAGTTCCTGTGATGGTTCTATTTCCGATTTCATCCTGTTAA